TGCAGGCTACAAAGGGAAAACAATGGCACCCACCCGCTCCAGTCCCTCGCAGTTTTAAGGGGAGTCTAGCAAGGTTGTGGGGGAGTTTGGGAGCCTGAGCATTCCTGCCGGGGTTCAGCTGGGAGCAGCGGGAGGAAGGTGTGGCTTCACAGAAATTCCCAGTACATTCCAGCGCAGCAGCTGGACTCCTGTCGGTGGTGCTCGAAGGGGTCCAGGTGTTCTCACCAGCAGAGCCTCTGGCGCCTAGGAGCAAGGGTGTGTGTGAGAGGGTTAATTATAGAGAGCGGCTGTCCTCGCACAGAGAGAACATTTTTAAGATTTTTGTCGTGTATTAATAATGCACCTCTCTCCTGGGTGTTGGGGTGGCGGTGTTTGTTTTTTAAGTGAAGAGAAAGAGAAGTATTTTGAATTCTTGCTGAGCTGTGTTTTCTTGACTGCGGAGATTGGGCCTCAGAAGCTCTGGTTTACCCGTGGTGGTGCACGCCTTTAATCCCAACACTGGGGAGGCAGAGGCAGGTAGAGCTCTGAGTTCAAGGCCATCCCTGGTCTACAATATGAGTTCCAGGACAGTCAGGGCTACACAGAAAAACCTTGCCTTGAAAAACCAAAAACAAAACAAACAAACGAACAATAACAACAACAAAGCTCTGGCTTAAATTCCCCTAAATTATTACTAAAACCCAGAGCCTGGCTTTATACAGACCACATACATTTTCCGAGCTATCCTGAGAAAAACCTCATCTTTTCTGGCTTTTTGGGCTCCCAGGGAAAATGAGAACTGGTCTTCCCCCTTTCCCAAAGTCAATTCTAGAACATTCTTCCATTCTTGTCAATCTGCTATCCTGAGTTTTTGTCACGTGTTGATAACACCCTTTCAGCATTCCTCTGACCTCCACGGCACACCCTCCTCTCTGAGATCCCCCTCATCAGGCTGGCTTTTCCTTCTGGATCTCCCACCAGTTTTCAGACACTCTGAGCCTCTGCCTCCCTGGCCTGCGAATTTCCCAGGCTTAATGTGAAGGGCTTTCAACTCTGCTCCAGGTCTGCACCCACACCCTAGCCACTCAGGACACCATGCCCAGGCCCTGGCCCCTGGGGGTTCCCTCCACCACCCTTTCCTGATCCCTTCCTTCACCCCTCATGCTGACTCGGGTCAATCCACTCACAGTCGCTCTTTAGCCCTCTCAGTAAAAGTGTTTAAACTCCAGACTGGAGAGATGGCTCAGCAGTTAAGAGCACTTGCTGATCTTCCAGAGGACCCATCTCAGGCAGTTAACTCATAAACGACCTGAGACTCTGATCCAGGGGCACCCAACAGCCTCTTCTGGCCTCCGCTGGCACCCACACACACTAAGAAAGGGGGTGGGGTGGGTTACACTCTTCTAACCCTAGCATTCTGGCTCCTCTAAGTCCCATGGCTTTCCATCTAGACCAGCATGGAGAGGCCCCACCCTTCTTTGGGATTGCTCCCTCCGACTGTCTCACCTTTGCTCACAATTGGTGGTAGTCACTTAAATCACAGCAGGTGTTGGAGTTTCTTAGGGCTGCCAAAACAGACCAGCAGAAAACCAGTGTGAGGGAACAGAAATGCGCCCCAAGGCAGTGCTGGAGGGTGGAAGTTGGAAATCAAGGTGTCTTCGAGAGGAGCTCCTGCCAAAGGTCCAGGGGACTCTTGCTTGCTGCTTCTAGCGTCTGACAGCTCGAATGCCACTTGTTTTTGGTAACACAACACCAATCTCCACCTCCATCTTAACAGACTTCTTCCTGTGTTTCAGTATCCATGATTTCTCTCCCCTTTTTCTTGGATACCAATTATTGAATTTAGGACCCATCCTGAACCCAGGATGACCTCATCTAAATATCCTTAAAACAAAACAAAACAAAACAAAAACCTCTGTGTGTGTGTGTGTGTGTGTGTGTATGTGTTCTCTCCTTCTACCATGTGGGAACTCAGGTCATCTGGCTTGACAACAAGCTCCTTTACCCAATGAACCATGTCACCCTCCCTTTTATCTGCAGGTTATGGTGGGACACACCTGTGTCCCAGCACTCTCGAGGCTGAGATAGGGTGATTGCCATGACTTCAAGACCAGCTTGGGCTATAGAGAGTTCCACATTTGCCTAGACTTCAGTATGAGAACCCATCTCAAAAACAACACAAAAATGAGGGTCTTTACACTAATTACTTACATCTTCTTTCCTAATGAGGCCACATTCACAGGCACTGGAGAACCTGAGACTCAACCCACTCTAGCAGGTTCCTGCTCCTCCTAGGGTTCTCTTAGTCCACTTCCAGGCACCCGGTTCCAAACGCGATCGCAAAGCATGCCCATGACTTCCTGGTTAACGCGTCTCCTCTCCCTCAGAACTTCCTTCTGCTTTTTGTTCCTCTTTAATAGATTTTAGTTCTCTTTCACAGTGCTTCCATGTAGAGAATTTTAGGCTTTGTCTGGTTGCCTGGTAGGAGGTTCTCGTCCTCCTGGTGCCAATGAGCTTGCAGCCCTGACCCCTCCCACTAAGCGTCTAGCCTGCTCTTTCCTTCCCCAACCACTTCCTGTCTTCCTACCACTTAGCTTCTCCTTCCCCAGTCTCCTGCTCAGCCCTACCTCCTGCCACTTCCCACCCAGCTCCGTGGCCATGTAGCACAATTCTGCCCCGTAGCACAATTCTGCCCTGTGTGCACTAGCCCCTCGGGTTACCGGGTGCCTGCCTATTCTGTTTGCCAGTTCAGTCCTTTGCTTGAGGCATCTCCTACAGATGTCATTCAGACCCGCTAGGTACCCTTAGCCTTCATGAAGAACACGCCTTTCAACTTGCTTTTCCTCGTGGCTTTAGTTCCCTTCCTTCCAACACCAGACACACCTTCATCCCACAAAATGACTGTACCTTTCTTTTGGCTTCCTGTAGTTTTTCGCCTGTCTCTGTGTCTCTACCCACTCAATGGCTTCCAGTAAAATGACTGCTTTGGTTTCAGTAATGACCCGACCTTTTCCTCTCTGGTCCATTGCTGCTTGAATTTCTACCTGGGAATGGTGTTCGGTGTTTGTATTTTCACAATTGTGGTATACTAGGTATACCTAGCGGGAATGGCAGATATATAGACAGGGGTATGGATTCCAGGAGCCCTTGACTCACAAACAATTCCAGCTTGCCTTGCCTGTTAGTATACCAATCCTAACACTCCTGAAGATGGTCTTCCTCATCTCAACCAAAATGTTTTAGCTTAGTAATTCTCTCCATTTTTGGATACAGATTTTGTTTTACATTTAAGCTAAAATGTAGCATGATATAAGACTGTTAAAAAAGAAAAAAGTCTCACTCTAAATCACGGGCTGCCCTGAAGTTGTGGCTCTCTTCCTACCTCAGCCTCTTGAATGCTAGCATTTGAGACGTGTGCCATCAGGCCTGACTACAGGAAATACTCTTTCTTTTCCCTAGCCCTTTCCAACCATGTAAAACATCCTAAGACAGGAGCCATGGTAGTAGATTGAGACATCTTTCATTCTTTCCACAGAGATCCATCTGCCTCTGCCTCCAAAGTGCCATGATTAAAGGTGTACACTACCATCACTAGCTAAAAAAATTTTTTCATTGTGAATTATCCTCATCTTTTCCTTTGATTGTCTCTACCTCATCCCCTAAAGGCTCTGTGAATTATGCTAATTTCACAGCCACTCCTATTATATATAGTGGGTGATTTTGAGACTTTGGCATGAGTTCTAGTGTCCTAAAGCAATTAAGGTTAGCATCTAGAGGCTCAAAAAATCAGCTATTCATATTCGACTGCCCATTGCTTATTTAGAGTAAGGGTTCTCTTGCCTTTATTTCTGTGTCTCCAGTATCCAGTGGTTCCTGATACCCAGAAGCTCTGACTGGGCAGCCCCTTCTGCTAATCCAGCTTCTGTGAGAAGGTATCATCGACTGACCCTCCGCTACATCACTAGAGGCAGCCTCTGACATTTGAGATATACTCATCTGGGAGCATCGGACTTAATCAAGAGAATTGCTTGTCATGAGGATAAGGTTCATTATCCCCCCAACTCTAGAATCTCAGCCTTGAGATGACAAGGCAAGTGTGGCTCTGAGCCAGTGAGCAAAAGGAAGGTTGGGAAGAAACATCCCAGTCTGCAGTACAGTCTAAGGAAAGTGAGCAGAAGAGGCAACTGAAAGGATGCCACCACCTGCCTTCCGCCATGACACATGGTGCGCTGTTTTAGAGACAGCCCCAGGATGGGGGAGGGAAGAAAAGGCACTGAGGAGGCAGCTGCCAGAGCTCCTCCTTTACAACCCTTTTATACTTGGAAAGGATTAAGTAAATATAAACGCATTCCTCACTCCCAGAGCCAGTCGGGGGACTAGAAAGAAAACCACTACAACTTCGAGTTAGTTGAGGGTTTGCAGTACAGTGGTTGGGTTCCATAAAAACTCAATTCCATGACACCAGCAGTGTGACAGGCAAATCTTCTCCTCACTGAATTCTCTTGTTTGTAAAATGGCAATAATAATAACTCTGACCCTCCAGAAAGATTAAGTAAAATGCACAAAGTACTGAGTTTAATCCTGAGCACTGCATAAACAGACATGGTGGTAGATGCCTGTAATCCCCCGCACTCTGGGGGTAGAAGAAGGAGGAGCAGAAGTTCAAGGTTCTGTGTATATAACCGCAGCTATAAGCACATCAAGTTTAAGGGGAACTGCTGTGGAATAATCCTTCTGCACACTGTGAAAATGTACTCCTCTCATTGGTTAGTAAAGAGCCGACTGGCCTATAGCTGGGCAGGAGAGCCAATCTGAGAATGCTGGGCAGAAGAAGGATGGAGTCGGGAGTCGCCAGCTGTACTGAGAAAAGGTGCCAAGCAACGTGGCAGAGCATGGATTAAAAATACATCTTTGTGAGTTCGAGGCCAGCCTGGTCTACAGAGTGAGTTCCAGGAAAGGCGCAAAGCTACACAGAGAAAACCTGTCTCGAAAAACTAAAACAAAACAAAACAAAAAACAACAGGTTAATTTAAAATGTAAGAGTTAGCTAGTAACAAGTCTGAGCTATCGGCTGAACATCCATGATTAATATTAAGCCTCTGTGTGATTACTTGGGAGTGGCTTGCAGGACAGAAACTTCCACCAACAGGGAACCTAGGCTCCCTGGTACGTGTACACACACACACACACACACACACACACACACACACACACACACACACACACAGAGGAAACACTATGTAAGATGCTTGTGTTGCTAAGATTCCTTTCTGAGGGAGACATAATGTCTACCCTTTCTCCTAAAGTCCCAATGACAAACTGAGGTATGATTCCAAAGTTCACCCTGGGGAAACAGTAAGTTTACTGACTGACTTCCCGAACTTGGGTGAGTGGTTAGTTACAGGAATGTAGACATTCCCCTCTGAAAAAGGGCGCACTGGAAAGCCTTAGTGCGGCAGGAATGATGGCCTTCCCAGCTTAGGTGGCACTCTCTTTCCTGCTCGTTCTCCATCTACATCTCTAGCCCTCCCCTCCAAGAAGCCACATGAAATTCAGGCAGAATAGCATACAACTGGTTGAGAAAAGTGGCTAGATACTCCCATGGCCCTCCTCCACCCCTCTGGTGGGCTGCAAGAATATACCATAGAGATTCAGCTATGTAGTAAAGCTGAACTTTGACCAGCCAAGGGTCTGTCAAAAGGCAAAGCCATTTATTCTGAATATTTGGTGTTACCCAGCCTTTAATATTCCAGCTGTCTTCTGCGAAGAAATCCTTGTGTGCCCAGACCTACTGGTAAACAGTTCAGCTCCCCAGACCTGGTGAACTACTAAGTTACTAACTGCCCTGCTGAGCTTAGGAGACCTGCTGGTGGGAGAAGCCTGGCTTTGTTTCCTGTGCTAATGAAGCTCAGACCATCCCCTTGCCTAAAGGAGGCCTAGTGGTTCTCCAGAGCATTTTGACTGAGAACAAAAGAGGTTTTACATATCAAGGTGAGAGATAAAACAACAGTCCTGAGGAGGCTGGGAATCACTTGCCCAGGGAAAGAAAAGGCAGGTATTTTCTGTAGACAAGGTCAGAAATGCATGGCGAGAGAGAAGAGAGGACCACAGAGGTTCCATAGAGGGTAAGCAGATCTCAAGTAGAGTTTTCTGAGGGCCAGGAGTAGAGAGTAGCAGAGATGGAGAAAGAGGATACAGAGGACGAAGATGAGGCTGAAAGCATAGGAGTTAGTTGTTAGGTGGACTATGAGCTGGGAAGCTGGACGGAACTGCAGTTAGGGAGACGGGATTTCATCCCAGAGAAATAAAGTAGATAGATATAGAGCTTGTTATGTCTAGAGTTATTCCTGCCTTGAATGCCTGGTGGAACTATAGCTGAACTGATGTAATTTTGTCTTAGAGGAATAAAGTTAACAGACATTAAGAACATAGTGTACATAGATTTTTTCCCCCTAATATCCCACGCTGGATCTAGCAAAGCCCCCTTGGACCTCAGGGGAATCGATATCTGGTAGTACATACATTTCAGGATCGTGGGCAGAATTTATACAATTAGTAATAGAACTTTGTTTAAGGGCAGTTCAGTCCCTGGGCTGGTGGGTTCAGTTCAGAAAAAGGGGTGGCAAAGGGGCTGTAGAAG